ATCCATCCATCCATCCATCCATCCATCCATCCATCCATCCATCCATCCATAAATCTATACGCTTTTTGTCTAGCTATGATCTATATCTGTCTATCTGTCTAACCATCTGTCTTCTATTCTATTCTATTCTATTCTATTCTATTCTATTCTATTCTATTCTATTCTATTCTATTCTATTCTATTCTATTCCATTCCATTCCATTCCATTCCATTCTTTCTATCATCTGCCTATCTTTGTCATCTCTCTATTTATCACCCCTTCTCTCCCCCCTCTCCCCCCCAAATGAGTGAATCTATATGCTTTTTCTCTAGCTAGCTATGATCTATATCTGTCTGTCTGTCTGTCTGTCTGTCTAACCATCTGTCTGTTTCTCTCTCTTTCTATCTATATGTATCTTCTATCCCTCTATCGATCATCTATCCCTCTATTGATCATCTATCAGCTCTCTATCTATTCATTCATTCTGTCTGTCTGTCTGTCTGTCGGTCTATCATCCATCTATCTGTGTGTCTGTCTGTCTATCTGTCTGTCTGTCTGTCAATCTAACTATCTAGTTATCTAGTTCTAGTTCTTGATATGTTTTAGACTCCAGTCCCCTAATCATCCTGGTTGCTCTTCTCTGCACTTTTTCTAGAGTCTCAACATCTTTTTTATAGTGTGGTGACCAAAACTGAATGCAATTACTCTAGGTGTGGTCTTACTAAGGCTTAGTATTAGTACCTCACTTGATCTCGATTGTATCCCTCTGTTAATGCAATTTAGGATTGCATTGGCTTTTTTGGCTGTTGCCAAACACTGCTGGCTCATATTTAGCTGGTTGTCCACTAAGACTCCAAGATTCCTGTCACAATAACTGCTATTAAGCCTGGTTTCACCCAATCTATATGTGTACTTTTGGTTTTTCTTGCCTAAGTGTAGGATTTTACTTTTCTGTACATAAGATTACATTCTGTTAGATAGGGCCCAGTGTTCAAGTCTGTCAAGATCTTGAGCCTATCTTCTAGGATGTAAGCTATTCCTGCCAGCTTTGATAAGTTCTATTCCCTCATCTAAGTCGTTAATGAAGATATTGAAGAGTACTGGGCCTAAGATGGAACTTTGTGGCACCCCACTGCTTACTTCCCTCCATGTAGACTTAGACCCATTAAGGACTATTCGTTGAGTATGGTTTGTCAGCCAGTTGTGAACCCGTCTGGTGGAACCCATCTGGTTTTTCAGCCAGTTGTGAACCCATCTGGTTTTTCAGCCAGTTGTGAACTCATCTGGTGGGACCCAATTTCATTGAGAAGTTTTGTTTTTTTTTTACATTGGGGTAACCCGTCCTGCCCCTTTACCTAGCCCGCTTGTCCTTGCTCCAGTGCTGATATCGGCCACTTCTGACTCATCCTTGATGCCGTAGACCGTAAGGCTGTATTTGGTACTGGGTGTGAGTCCTTGGAGGGTGACGGAGCGCTCGTCCCCAGGCACTTTAACTTCTTGGGCTGGCGTTTGGCCTCTTCCCAAACTGTCTTTCCATCTCACAAGGAAGGAGTCAAATTCCCCCTCTGGGACATCCCAGCTGAGCTGCAGAGTCGTGGACGTCACTTCAGAGACCACAAGATGATCGAGCAAGGGAGCTGGAGCGCTGGTGCTTTCTGAGAAAGCTACAGGAGAAAGGAAGGCAAACGGGTGACGAGCCCACAAGCTGGAAATTAGTTCAAATTAAGATGAGGTAACGTTCTTTTGACTCCCAGAGTCAGTCTTTGTGACTTGTGTTTCAGGGTCTGGTGGAGTAGCAATAGCACTTCGATTTATAGACAGCTTCACAGTGCTTTCCAGCTCACTCTAAGCAGTTTACAGAGTCAGCATCTTACCCACCCACCCCCAACAATCTGGGTCCTCATTTTACCGACCTCAGAAGGATGGAAGGCTGAGTCAACCTTGAGCCTGGTGAGATTCGAACTGCAAAATCGCAGGCAGTCGGCAGGCAGCAGAAGTAGCCTGCAGTGCTGCACTCTAACCACTGTGCCACCGCGGCTCATAATCACAACATTAAGTGAACACAGGGACTCAATTCTCACCCTTCTCCCCTCCCAACTCCCCCATGTTCTTAGGGGTTCAGGTGAGTATCTAAGTGGGGTTTTCAGGGATTGAGTACTGAAATGTCAACAAGGAGCCCCTCCGAGAGAGAGAGAGAGAAAGAGAGAGAGAGACTCACCTGCAGTGACAGCATCGATCGAGACTGGTCCAAACTGTTTCTTCTCAGAGAGACCGTAGAGGCTGAACTTGTATTTGTGGGAAGGTATCAAGTTGGAGATGAAAACTGTCCAGGAGTCCACACCAACAGGCACGGTTTGTGGGTTCCCTCGGGCATCTTTGTACTGGATGAAAAAAGAGTCAAATTTCCCAGACGAGATAGTCCATGAAAGGCGGACAGAGTCATTGGTGACTTCAGAGATGGAGAGATCACCCAATTTGGGTTTGGCCTCCAAGTCCTTTCCTTGAGCTGGAAGAAATCAAAATACAAAATGTCTACGGGGATTCTCAGTCATCCAGGACACAGTTGTCCCAATGGTGCTTTTTTTTTTTTAAAGAGGCGACTGGACTTTCTTGGTTTTTTGCTGAAGATGTTTCTGTTGGAGCTGAAGAAGCTTCTTGGATCGAGAAGTGAAACATCTTCAAAGAAAAACCAGAAAGTCCAGTCGCCTCTTGAAAGGAAAAAGCATCTTTGTGACCAAAATACAAAATATTACGAAGGATGTCAGAGTATATTCATTAACTGGCAGAGACATGGTTCTAATAAAGTCAGCAAGTGAGTAAGCATGGCAACAGACCAGCCAATGGGAGCTGACAGCCTGGGTGGGGTTTGGCTCTGTGTGCTTTGCTGAGAATTGAAACTGAAACTAACTTGCTTGCTTGCTAAAACTGAAATCTGCTCTAAGCTGCTGCTGCTTGTGTTTTTGCTTATGTTATGTTGAAAGAATCTACAAATGGTATTGTAAACTTTACTCATATTAATATGTTTATAAAGAAGTTAATGATCCTGCTGAATCAATCTATGTGTTTTCTGGACTTGAATTTATGCGGCAAACTCTAATAAAGGGTGCCATGCTTTTTGCAAAGGATCGAGGGATCTAGCGCAGGGTATCTAAACTGGGTTCCATGGAAACCTAGGATCCTGAAACTAGAATCGATTCCGCAAAATGTGTGTGTGTGTGGGGGGAACGACACTTTTTTGCAGAATGAAAAAGAAAAGGAGGAGGAGGAGGGGGGGGCAGGAGGTACCGGGCCATGGATCATTTTGTACCGGGCCGCAAAGAATGAAAGTAGGGCGGGTGCTGCCATCTTGTTTCGACGGCGCTTGAGAAAGTGCTTCCGGGTGAGCTTGTCGGTCATTGGTTGGAAAGTGGCGTTTGGGTGCTGAAGGAATGCTCGCATCTTAGTTTCGTCGAAGGGGGGGTGGCGGCTTCGAATGAAGAGCCGTCCCGATGGCGGTGGAGTCTCATGTTACTCAGGAGGAGATTAAGAAAGAGCCCCAAAAGCCCATCAACCGCGAGAAGGTACAAAGGAGAAGTTGAAGGTTGCGGGGAGAAGCAGGGGATGGCTGGCTGGCCGGTCGCTCGGCTCGCCTTGCCTTGTCATGCATGCTGATGCCGGTACTGGTCTGTGGATCGGTCCGTGGATTGTACCGGTCTGTGGTACAAAAAAGTTTGGGGGCCACTGCAGTCTAATCCCTTGCAGACTTTTCTCTTATTAACTTGTAGAGAAGTTCCTCCCACCCCACTCTCTTAGTCCTGTTTTTTTGCAAAGATGTATTGCTATTGCTATTATTGACTCCCAGAACTGTGGAATTCTGGGAGTTGAAGTCCAGAAGTCTTAAAATCGCCAGCTTTGAAGAGCCCTCCTCCAACATAAAACAGAACAGAACAGAACACAAAAAAAGGAAGAGTAAATGTTATATTTAACCCTAAAACGCAACAAGGAGTTAATGAGGGAAACTGCCTTGGGGCAGGGTGGTGTTGGTGTTGGGGGTACAATCATCCCAGTTATATAAAGTTCTACCAGTTGCAGACTAACTTAAAAATGCGAGTTCCAGGTGTAGCTATAAAAGAAGAGACAGACATCACAATCTCCAGAACTCAAACCATATTATCCACTTAGCTTTCATAAGCCTCTGCTAACATCCTCAGAGTGTAAAAACTACCGTTGAAGAGATGTTCACCTTTATGCATCATTGTAATCGGCCCATCCATCCGCCTCCCACCTGTAATTACCTCTATTGTTTTTACTTTGTGTTAATTGATGGCGGCTTGAGTCCTATTGCTTCCTCCCCTATCGTGCCCCACTTTAGGCTGCGCATCCCCAGGAGATGGTGCTGAATTGTCAGCTATCACTTTGACAGCGTTCTCTCTGGCCCCTCCCTCACACCAACGGACACAGGCCCATTTGATATATCAGCCAGATTCATTTGTCATTTTGCCTGCGATCTCTTGTAATCAGCCTGGCTCATTCCTCGTTGTCCATGTCTATTGCAGTTATGCTGGACTCCTCTGTATTTGGCCTGGACTGGCTATGCCTTCGCAGGACGATTCTACATGCCCCAAAAGTGAGGGTGGGGGGTTTGGTCCCTGCTCCCCGATGGGAATCGGTCTCTGCTTTATCCTGCAGGATCTTTCCTGGTACCTCAATGCTTGGTGAGCCAGTAGTAGTTCGACGCGCCTATATCGATGGAATTATTGCTGGAAAACCGGGCTTCTTTCAGGAGGCGTCCCCCTTTAATTGCATTACGGGCAACAACTTCAGCCTCTTGAAAATGAACAGAGCTAATTACAGGTGGGAGGCGGGTGGATGGGCCTATTACGCACACAGTGGCTAAATTGATCAGAGATGCATAAAGGCAGTATCTCTTCAACGGTAGTTTTTATACTCCGACGATGTTAGCAGAGGCTTATTTATTTATTTATTTGATTTGTCAATTGCTTACAAGATAATAAGTATATACATAGTTATGAATACATGAAATGGGTACGTATAAGAAAAATAAAAGAAACAATAGGACAGGGACGGTAGGCACGTTGGTGCGCTTATGCACGCCCCCTATAGACCTCTTAGAAAAGGGGTGAGGTCAATAGTAGACAGTCTAAGGTTAAAGTTTTTGGGGTTTGGGGAAGAAACTACAGAGTCAGGTAGCGTATTCCAGACATTGACCACTCTGTTGCTGAAGTCGTATTTCCTGCAATCAAGTTTGGTGTGGTTAACTTTGAGTTTGTATCTATTGTGTGCTTTTGTGTTGTTATGGTTGAAACTGAAGTGTTCATTGACAGGTAGGACATTGCAATGTATGATTTTATATACCATACTTAGATCAGACCGAAGATGGCGTAATTCAAGGTTTTCTAGGACTAGAATTTCAAGTCTGGTGGCATAAGGTATTCTACAACGAGTAGAGGAGTGGAGAACTCTTCTTGTGAAATATTTCTGGACTTTCTCAACTGTGCTAATATCAGATACGTAATGTGGGTTCCAGACTGATGAGCTGTATTCGAGTATTGGTCTAGCAAATGTTTTGTATGCTCTAGTTAGTAGTGTGATATTACCAGAGAAAAAGCTACGTAGGATTAGGTTAACAACTCTTAATGCCTTTTTGGCTATGTAGTTACAGTGGGCTCTAGCATTTAGATCATTAGAGACGAGTACTCCAAAGTCCTTTACAGAGCTTGGATCATCAACAAGATCTTGACTATTCAGTAAGTGGATACTATAGTTTAAGTTCTGGAGATCGTGATGTCTGTCTCTTCTTTTATAGTTCTACCAGTATATATAGATCTGCATACATGGCACCTAGGAAAAAACCTTGAAAAGAAATAATGAGGTGGAGAGAGAGAAGGATGTTATTTTTCCTCTTAAAACAAAATGGAGCCTCTGACCTGTGACAGCTTCTGTAGAGACAGGACCAAAGCGTTTCTGTTGAGAGATGCCATAGAGGTTGAACTTATATCTGTGGGAAGGCACCAAGTTGGAAATCACCACATCCCGGGCATTGGTGTCTACCGACAACCCCTGGGGGTTGCCCTCGGCATCTCTGTACTCGACGCTGAAGGATTCAAATTTTCCAGTCAAGACCCGCCAGGTCAGACGGAGAGTTGTGTCAGAGACGTCAGAAGCAGAGAGTTTCCCCAGTTTGGGTTGAGGAGCAACTTGCAGCCCTGAAGGTTTTGGGACTAAAGAAAAACAAAACAAAACAGAGAATTCAAATGTACTTGAGCTCTGGATCTGCTAGAGATCGTGGAAAGCAAGTGGGAGAATATTTGTGTCAGCTAACCAACTCCAAACCCATAAACTCTGAGACAAACATTTTCTCAAAGTTCCATTTGATTAAGAGTTGTCATATGGGCACATCTGGGAAAACCCAAATCTGAAAGTTCCGGGTTTTCCCTTCCCAAAAGAGAATCAAAGATCCATCCCCTGCATCCATCAGCCCATCCCATGGCCCAATCAAATCTTCATCCCAACTAGAAACATCCTTCCAGTCACTCCTCTCCAGGTGCAGGGTAAGTTGTTCTTGACTCTCTGGGAAGAATGTTGTTGTGTCTAATCTTCTACCTCACTATGAAATCCCCGCTCCTAAATTCCCAGGCACTGAATGTGGCAGCCTCGAAGCTCCCAAGAAAAAGATGGCTTCCAAGGCTGACAATTTGGTTGATTGAACCCATTCCAGAGGTAAGAGGGAGGAAGAAGAGTTTATCTTAATTGATTCGGGATAAGTCTGCCAAGGAAGTGTTTGTATATTTATTAATAGAGCTTATATCAATGTTTCTCAACCCTGGCAACTTCCAAGACGTGTTGGTTTCAAATCCCAGAATTCCTGAGCCAAAATAGTAATGAAAAGAGTGACATTATTTTTACATTTTTCCAAATATCTTCAGTTTCTGGCAAACCATTTTTATTTCATGGAAGGTCAAGAACCCCATGAGACTGTCTGGATCTATTGTGGGGAAAACTGGGATCTTATATCATTCTCGTTTGTGGAATTGGTTTGTCTCATTGGAAAATATGCATGCTGAGGCACAAGCCTGAAGCTGCCATACCGTATTTGGCTTTCACCGAGTAGTCATTTTAATTTGTCTGTCAATTCATAAAATATTTCTCTGATCTTTTAGAGTTGCCAACAGAAAGGGAGGGGGGAACAGTGCAGCAGTTTGCAAAACCGAAATTGCATTCCCATAAATGTTTTCAAAGGTAGTGTCTAAGTGACCGAAGTTTCTGCCGCGCAAAATTCCAACTGGAGAGTATGATTGATGACTCTTGGCTATGGATGTGTCCCATTGGAGAATATGAATTATGATACACCCAGGGGAGTGAGGGAAATCCAGGGTCAAGGGTGACAATGAATGATGTATCTCAGAGTCGGCTACACCCAAGCAGCGCCGGCATGTTTACTCCTAATAAATCTTTAAGTTTTGAAAATCTGGCTAGAGACTCGTGATTTAAATGAGGGTAACTACCGGAGCCCTGACATTGTCCTTGCAAATTGTCCCAGTAGCAGTGTGAAACCTAAACTCGAAATGCGGCTTTTGAGATCACAAATGTAGTTTTGTCTCATGAAGGAGAAGCATTATAGAGGAACAGTCGCAAGGGTGGCTATTAGGCTGCAACTAACCTGTAACAGCCTCCACTGATATGGGGCCCAGGCGCTTGCGACGGGAGACCCCGTAAAGGTTGAACTTGTATCTGTGCGAAGGGACCAAGTCATGGAAGCGCAGCGATCGCAAACCTCCATCTACAGGCAATGCTTGGGATTTGCCGGCGTCATCCCGGTACTGGATGATGAAAGAGTCGAAATTCCCAGATTCCACAGTCCAGGACAGAAGAAGGGATTCCGACGTGATGTTATGAGCTGACAAGGTTCCCAGCTTGAGGGGTTGGGTGCCTTGGCCTAGAAGAGAGAAGGAAGACCATCTGGATTGAAAATAGGGCAATGCCGGTTTTCGTGGTATTGATTATACATAGGGCTCTTGCTTGGGATTTGGGTGGGCTGATTTTGTCTCTTTTAAAAATATATACAGAAGAGAGAGAGGGGGGAGAGGGAGAGGGAGAGGAAGAGAGAGACAGAGACAGAGAGAGATATGAGAGGGGGGAGAGAGAGAGGGAAACCAGCAAAATCAATACAACTGAAAAAAGTGAGGTTACAGGACCAGATCTGTGCAAATTTTATTTGAAAAAACAAATAATATCTCTCTCTCTCTCTCTCTCTCTCTCTCTCTCTCTCCCTCTCCCCCCCCCCCCCCCTCCCCCCCCCCCCCCCCCCCCCCCCTTGGAGTCATTGTTGACTCATCAGGAATATCTTTCAGTTTTAAGATTTTGGGAAGTGGTTTGCTTTGGCTTTTTTCTTCCTAGGGCTGTGAGGTAGGGAATTTGAAAGAAAAAGCAATGTCATAATTTGCTTAACTGCTATGCAGAAAATGTAAGAGGGCATTATTCAAGCTTGACTTCACCGCTTCTGTTTTTCCAAAAGCGCCAAGCTGATTGGGAACCGATGGCTGCAAAATATTTCTGGCTTTGCTTAGAAACCCAGTTGTATTTTGGGGCTGGGATGCTAGCCAAGCTATGGATTTTGTTTGCCCAAAGTCACAGTCTTCCAGTTTCTGGAAGACCTTTGTTTACTTTATAGTCTATTGCTGTTGTACCATATAAGTCACAAGGATAACAGATTGGTGTGGGCTGCCCTCGGATTTCCACAAAACAAACAAACAAAGACGTCATCAGTGAACACCCTCGTCAAGTCCCCATTTCCCTCTGACCTGTGATGGCATTGGTAGAAATGGGACCGAGGCGTTTGCGCCCATTCAGGCCGTACAGGTTGAACTTGTATCTGTGAGAAGGCGCCAGGCCGGTGACGGTGATGTCCCGTGAAGTGCCATTGAGGGGCAGGACTTGGGGCTTGCCCTCAGAGTCCTTGTATTGGATCAGGAAAGAATCAAAATTCCCGGCAGCCACCGTCCAGAACAGAGCCACTGAGTTGTTGGTGACCCGAGAGACGGAGAGACCTCCTAGCTGGGGCTCAACGTTCCTTTCTCCTTCGGATATCTCTGCAAATAGAGAACGATAAAGAAGAAAACGGATGCTTGTCAAACTTGAAATTACATAAACGTTTAGATCTGTCGTATCTCCCTCAGCTTGAGTGCATCGGGCAGAAGGCCAATCTGAGAAAACTGGGAGCAGAAAAAGCTGGAGAAGAAGTAGAATGAATGAATGAATGAATGAATGAATGAATGAATGAATGAATGAATGAGTGAGTGAATGAATGAGTGAATGAGTGAATGAGTGAATGAATGAATTCTTTATGGGCCAAGTGTGATTAGACACAGAAGGAATTTGTCTTGGTGCATATGCTCTCAGTGTACATAAAAAGAAAAGGCACATTCGTCAAGAATCATAAGGTACAACACTTAATAATAGTCATAGGGTACAAATTAAGCAATCAAATCATACTAGAAAACAGTCAATATACAGTAAATCGTAAGGATGCAAGTGACAAAGTTACAGTCATACAGTCACAAGTGGGAGGGGATGGGTGATAAGCAGTGATGAGAAGATTAATAGTAATAGTTAATGCAGACTTAGTAAATAGTTGGGCAGTGCTGAGGGATTTATTTGTTTAGCAGAGTGATGGCATTCATGGGGGAAAACCTGTCCTTGTGTCTAGTAGTTCTGGTGTGCAGTGCCCTATAGCTTCGTTTTGAGGGAAGTAGTTGTAACAGTTTATGTCTGGGATGTGAGGGGTCCGTAGATATTTTCACAGCCCTCTTTTTGACTCGTGCACTATACAGGTCCTCGACTGAAAGCAGGTTGGTAGTAATCGTTTTTTCTGCAGTCCTAATTATCCCCTGAAATTGTACCTGAGGTATTTCCCCCCCACCCCAAAAAAAGTAACTGGATTTGTTTTTCCTTGAAGACATTATGCTTCTCATCCTAGGAGCTTCTTTAGTTCTGACTGAATGGTGGAGGATGGAAGGATTGATACTCTTTGCAGTCATCTGGTCATTTCTGAGAGCTGCTGAGGCCACATGTAGGTTTATCTGTGCCCTCAGGGTCACCTGATAGTACAAAGGGGGGTGGAAACTTCTTGGAATTGTTGAAAGGACTGAGTTGTAAAGAGGAGGTGGATAGTGTCATATCCCCCCCTCTCTGTTGAGAGAGGGATGTTCAACCTTAAAATAGATGGCCTCTTGTCCAAAATATGCATTTTGCTGTCTTCAAAAGAGTGGTCTTTGTCGTTCAAATATAGATGGATTGTTGAATCTTGTCCTGACGGGCCAAGGAGCCTCAAGACTCTCAGAAAGAGAACTAACCACTAGAACAGGGGTCCCCAACCACCGGGCCCTGGACCAGTACCAGTCCGTGGATCATTTTGTACCGGGCTGCCGGTTTGCTTGGGCACCACCATCTTGTTTCGATGGTGCTTGAGAAAGTGCTTCCGGGTGAGCTTGTCGGTCGTCAGTTGTTGGAAAGCGGCGTTTGGGTGCTGAAGGAATCCTCGCGCCTTAGTTTCGTCGAAGAGAGGAGGGGGCGGCTTCAAACAAAGAGCCGTCCCGATGGCAGTGGAGTCTCGCGTTACTCAGGAGGAGATTAAGAAAGAGCCCGAAAAGCACAAAAAAGGTACAAAGGAGGAGTTGAAGGTGGCGGGGAGAAGCAGGGGACAGCTGGCTGGCCGGTCGCTCAGCTCGCCTTGCCTTGGTCATGCGTGCTGATGCCGGTACCGGTCCGTGGATCATTTTGTGATGCCGGTACCGGTCCGTGGTACAAAAAAGGTTGGGGGCCACTGCATTAGATGACTGAAAGGAATATAAAACTTTCCATCCTCCATCATTCACTCAGAACTGAAGAAGCTTCCTGGATAAGAAGTGAAATGTCTTCAAGGAAAAACAAAGCCCAGTTGCCTTTTGAAAAAAAAAAGCACCTTTGGGACAACTGTGACCTGGACGACTGAGAATCTCCACAGACAATGAAATCGTACAATTCCAGGATTCAGAAAGTCAGGGAGCTGGAGGGATTTGAGGGGATAATATTTACAATTGTTTAGAACTGTGAGCTCTGCTCAGAGTCACTTGGCTGAGATGAGGGTCTCAAAATCCATTTGGGCATCTGTTAGAAATATAGACGTGTGTTGGCTAAATCAGTGAGTCGATATGTGGGAAGAAATAACGATCTGGTTTAGTTCCAAGCCAGGAGAAAGACACTGGAAGCATGGAGGCTGCTTGGAAAGATGGTTTAAGGATGAGCAGAACCACGATGCACACGGTTCTGGTCAGTGGTGGGTTTCAATTTTTTTTTACTATCGGTTCTGTGGGCGTGGCTGTGGGTGTGGCTTGGTGGGCATGGCAGGGGAAAGATACTGCAAAATCTCCATTCCCACCCCACTCCAGGGGAAGGTTACTGCAAAATCTCCATTTCCTCCCCACCCCACTAACCTGCTTTCCGGCTCCAATCTCCTGTGTGGGCAATAAAAGACCCAGCTGATCAGCTGGGACTTGGGAGGCAGAGAATAGATGGGGGTGGGGCCAGTCAAAGGTGGCATTCTGAACTGCTCAAAATTTCTGCTACCAGAACTGGTCAGAACCAGCTGAATATCACCTCTGGTTTTGGTGCAGCTGACAAAATGGAGTTGAGATTGAGGGGTTTTATACCTTCTTTGGGTTTTGCACTTGAACTCCCTGTTCCTGTGCATGAATATGTATTCTATTGGCTGCTGTCAGACTCCCATGGGGCCATGTAAGGGTTATGTAGAGGTCAGAGCTGGCTCTACAGGCAAAGTACAAATCCTAGGTGTTTGTCTGAGCTAAGTTTGGTTGAAGTTTCTGAGGGTGATGCAGTCAAGGAGCTTGTGTTCTGAATGGGTGTTGGGTAGATCCTATTGTGGCTTAATGGCTTTTTCCTCTGTTGGAACTTGGGTGTTAGGAACTGCTAGTCACCTAACAGTTGGGTTGGAAATATATAAACCAGGATAGACATTTAATACTGTCTCTTTAAGGGAATGCAAAAATTGTAATTGGGTGTGGTTCCTCAAATGGCCATAAGATGGAGCCAGAAACCTGGGTTGTTAGTTCTGTTGTTGTTAGTTGCTAGTTGTTCATTGGTCGATGTTCTTTGGTTCCTGCATTTTTCCCTATGACTGTTGCTGATAGACTGTTGTTCTTGGGATGCTGTGAGTCTATTTACTGAACTGTTTATAATACTGGAATTTGATTTTTGGATTATCCCTAGACTGAATACTGACTGCTTTAACCATGTACGACTTGGACTGCTTGTTGGACTTTGCTTAACCGTTTACTGGAAGTAAAACCTACATTTTACTATTCAGTGTATCGGTGTGCTGGTCGTGTGTTATTCAACATCACTCTCACTACTTCTCCCTGTGTGCACTCATTCTCCTAACGGGGAATTACCTCAACAGCATTTGCTTATGAATAGAGCTATCTATCTCTTTATCTCTTAAGTGCTGATGTCTGCTGTGGGCTATTAAGAAAAGTGGGGGTTGCTTTCTTCTTCTAAAAAAACATGTTTCTCCATTTCTCATCTAGGGAAATATAATATTCTGCCTTTTTAATATTTCTCAAAATATTTCCTTCTTCCAGGAGAGGGGGGGTACTAACTTTCTACAGATCCATCCGTCCATCACTGACCTGTCACAGTGTGAACTGAGAGAGGCCCAAGGTGCCTGTAGCCAGAAACTCCAAACAGGTCAAATTCATACGTCTGTGAAGCTGTGAGGTTGTAGAGATGGAGGGAGCGCGTGGCTCCGTCAACGGGTACCGTCTGGGGCTTGCCTGAAGCATCCTTGTACTGGATAATGAAGGAGTCAAAGCTTCCTTCCTGGACGCTCCAGGAGAGGAGAAGGGAATCAGGAGTGACCTCAGAAACAGTGACTTCTCCAAGGCTGGGCAGGTTGCTCTTGCCTGTGCTTTCCTCTGGCTGTTTCTTTTCGTCAACCTGCCCAGATGTTTCGGCAGCTGCAAAAATAAAAGAGGAAGATGACGGAGGATCCTCAGGTATAACTGCCAGGAAACAATTTCATCCCGTTTTGATCTTTCTTGCCACGGCTGTGAAGGGAATCAATTGTTCACTTCAATTTTTAAGTGTCAGTTTTGGAAGCCATATTGAGATCCGAGGCTCCCACGCTGCCACAACTGAGCCTGTGAAAGTGGGAGGGGGGAATTCATTGGAGCGGATCTAATTAGACGTAATAACCATTTTCTTTCTGTCACATTGCGCATAGTGAAAGGAAGTTTACTTTGGGACGGATGGGGATTGGGCATGTGATGTGATGATGGGTGTAGGGCAGAGGTCTCATTCTCGCGGCCTGCGGGCCAATTGCGGCCCGCAGGACGATATCCTGTGGCCCCCACCGTGATATGAAAGTATAATATTGGTGTATAATATAAATATACAGTATAATATAAAGTATAATATTATGCGGCCCAGCCTCACCCAGACTCTGCCTCCAGAGGCTCCCAGGTAAATTGTGTTTGAGACCCCTGGTGTAGGGGAAGGATTTGTAGTTTTTAGTTATTATAAGGAAGCCCGGAACTTTCATATTTGGGATTCCACAGTTGTGCCGGTTACTATCCAAATAAAAGGAACTTTAGAGAGATGTCTGTCTTGGAGTTATTGGCTGGAATGGAGGTTTGCTGGAACGCTGACATTAAGTTAGTCCAGTGAATCTGGTTTCCCCATTCCCTTTGCTGTCAGGATGTCTCAAAAGGGGATCACATGACCTCCTTTTGTCTTCCCACTTGGCCCCTGTTAACAGCACAGATCAAAGGTGTGTGGATTGCTCGGATAGTTTGAGACACGTATCAGTCCCTGGAGGAAACAGAGGTAAGATTTATAAACGAAACCAGTAAAGGATTTATGAAGGATTTAGATGGCAGAACCATATATCTTAATACAGGAAGGATGCAATTGATTGCAGGCATATGACACCACAACCATTGTAAATATGAGCCATTGCCAATATTGGTGGGATTCAAATTTTTTTACTACTGGTTCTGTGGGTAGGGCTTGGTGGGCGTGGCTTGGTGGGCATGGCTTGGTGGGTGTGGCAGGGGAAGGATACGGTAAAATTCCCATTCCCTCCCCACCCCACTAACTTGCTTTCCAGCTCCGTTCTCCTGTGTAGGGCAATAAAAAAAGACCCAGCCGATCAGCTGGGACTCGGGAGGCCGAGAAGAGATGGGGGCGGGGCCAGTCAGAGGTGGGATTTGCCGGTTTTCCGAACTACTCAAAATTTCCGCTACCGGTTCTCCAGAACTGGTCAGAACCTGCTGAATATACCACCTCTGGTGGCCAAGCATTTGAATTTTGATCGCAAGACCATGCTGTAATGGCCGTAAGCGTGAAAAACGGTCATGAGTTGCTTTTCTCATTGCTCTTGTAACTTAGGATGTCACTAAATAAACTGTGGTAAATCGAGGACTACCCGTAAGCAAATTTCACCTCATAAGGACAAGAAACTTGTGTTTCTGTTCAAATGAAAGGTTTGGGTGATGAAATGTCTACAAGAAAACCTCCAAGTTCAGAGAATACCAAGTGTTGGTGGCATTCAGCAGGTTCTGACCAGTTCTGGAGAACCAGTAGTGGAAATTTTGAGTAATTCGAAGAACTGGCAAATCCCACCTCTGACTGGCCCTGCTCCCATCTATTCTCTGCCTCCCGAGTCCCAGGGGATCGGCTGGGTCTTCTTTTGTTGCCTTGCACAGGAGAATGGAGCTGGAAAGCAGGTTAGTGGGCTGGGGAGGGAATGGGGATTTTGCAGTATCCATCCTTTGCCAAGCCCACCAAGCCACGCCCACAGAACCAGTAGTACAGGTGTCGGATTCAATTTTTAAAACAACCAGTTCTGTGGGCGTGGCTAGGTGGGTGTGGCCATGTGTCTGGGTGGGCGTGGCTTTTTTTTTCAGCAACCCCCCCCTCCATTTTTGGGTCCTTCTGGGCCTCAGGGACACCTCCTGGGGGGGGGTCGTTTTTGCTCCCACAAGGCTTCCCTGTGGCTCAGGAAGGGAAAAAATGGAGGGGGGGGTTGTTGCTCCCCCCCCCTCCATTTTCTTTTTGCTTTCCTGGGCCTTAGAGAAATCTCCTGGGTGAAAGAGTAAGACCGTGAGGGGAATCCCGGCACAGCTGATCGTGGGAACAGCTGATCATCAGGAGAGGGGAAAAAAAGAAATACCTTAAGGAGTGACTGGGCAGAAAGAACGCAGTCAGGGATTCAGGTATGTGTGCACAATGTTGCGCATGCGCCATGAGGACTGACTGGGAGGGGTGGGCAGAGAGGGGCGGGGCCAGCCAGGGGCACAATTTGCCGGTTCTCCGAACTGTGCTGAATCATAACAACCGGTTCTACAGAACCAGTCCAAACCGGTAGAATACCACCCCCTGCAGTTGTAAAAATTTTTTCGAATCCCACCACTACTTCCCGCCTGTTTTATCCAGCCCAGCAGGTGTTGCTAACCTGTTGTGAACACTTGGGCAGAGACCGGTCCAAGGCGCTGTTTTCCAATGATACCATAAAGATTGAACTTGTACTTGTGAGAAGGTGATAGATTGGAAACGATGACATCACGGGAATCTCCTCTTAAAGGGAGCACTTGGGGTCTTCCTTCAGCATCTTTGTACTGGACTGAGAAAGAATCAAAGCTTCCTTCTGGGACGGTCCATGTTAGCCGGGCTGAATGACTGGTGATCTCTGGGACCGAGAGCACGCCCAAGCGGGGTCTTATCCCAGCAGGCACCTCCTGGTCCACATCTCCAGGCACACCTGGGGGCTTTTCATTGTCTGCTGCTGCTAAAGAGATAAGAAACAAGGTTGAGTGAGTGAGACAGGGAGAGGCCGAGGCTGAAATATTATTAGTCTCATCTTTGTGTTTCTTTCTTTCTTTTTTTTTCAGAGACAAAGTTTACATCAGGAGTTTCCGAAATGTGGAGACCACTAAACAGGTTTGACCACATCAGCCAGGATTCCCAACCAGCATACATTTGGAAAAGTGGGATGTCCTGTACATGTAAGGATCCTATACGATCTAGCAATATAAAAAAGTGCTGGGAATTTCTTCGCTGGTTTATTACGGTAAATAACCATTTTTCAAGGGCACTGATTCATAAATCTCCTCTGTTCCATATCTGTCTATTCCTAATAACTTTGAAAAAAGATCCAAACATTTGTGTGTTTTATAATTGTACTGTCTCACAAAGATAGATAGATAGATAGATAGATAGATAGATGATAGATAGATAGAT